GCGCGTCCACGTGACTCGAAGATCGACTCCCGCAATTTGCGCTTTTCACTCATCGCTCATTGACAGTGACTACGATTACGATTACGACGACGACGACGACGGCGGTAGCAAGACAAACACGGTGGCGCCAGATATAAACACTGAACACAGTTCGGCTTGTTTGAACGCGTGTTAGTGCGTGTTAGTGGGTTAGTGCAGCTAGCTCGCGAAGGACAAATTCATATTCCTCGAATGGGAATTCCTGGCGGCAGCGGCACGACGCCGGCTTCCCCGATTCAGTATTCAGGTGATATGTGACTCCGTCGACGAAACCGCGAGGGAAAAATTCGTGTTTTTCCCCCTCCTCGTCTCTTTCTCGTCGCTTTTCGAGAGCGAGGAGAGATCGTTCTCTCGTACGCTCGCGCGACGAGAGAGACGTGCGGTGATTTAAAGTGCGTGAGTCTCCTTTATCACGTGTTTACGGTGTTTGGTCGAGAAACGCGTGTGCGCGATAGAGAGAGAAAAAAGAAGAGAGAGAGAGAGTGGGAGAGAAAGAAAGGACAGAATAAAGAAAGAGAGAAAAGCGGATAATATTTGTCTTTTAGTAAGTACTCTCCTCGTCTCTTACATCGGCACGGTTTATCGCCTTCTCGCCTTATCGTCTCCTTAGACGGAGCTGGAGCGTAAAGTTCATTCTCGGAATACGCAGCGAGCAGAGATGCTCGCCGTGTGAACTCGGGCATCTCGTCTCGTTTCACCTTCCTTTCTCCGTTTTCCTTTCATCGGTTTATCACGTAATCGGATTGTGCCGAACACGTTCGCCAATTTTTTTATCTCGCCCAAGAAACAGAGTCATATGAAGTGTGCCCTCGTAACTACGCCATTCCGTTGTCGGGTCTGTTTTCTCATCGCGATTTACTCTCGCTCGCATTCGAAACAAAACACTTTTTTAACAACGGGAGGAAGAGAAGAAAGAGGGGGCGGAGGGATGGAAGAGGAGGATAAGTCCTGAGGGGAAACGCGGATGATTTCCATTCTCCGCCGAGGCGCAATTAAAACTCTCCTTTCGTCTGACCGCCGCTTTCGGCGATGTAGGTCGTGGGAGGGAAAAAGGAAGGTCAGCCCTTTTTACAGTATTAGACAAGTGTGATATACACACGTGCGCGCGAGCACGTACACACCGTACGGGGGAACGGGTTCGCGTGCGGCTCCGATTCTATCAGCGTGCCGACCGCAAACCGGAGGGTCTTCGTCGACCTTGAGGAGAAACCGGTCTCTCGGAGAAATTCGCGCGCGCCGATTGTCTCACTGTTTTGAAACCGGAAACGCGTGCGTCACGAAGGAACCGCGAAGGAGTTTCGGTCGCCGAGCACCGAGAGGAACGTGTGTGCACGGACAAACGAAGAAAGAAAGAAGAAAAAGAAAGAGAGACGGGGAGTCGGGTGCGGAGAAAAAAAATAATGATTGAAAAAAAATTTTAGACGAGAGAGCCAAAATTTCGCGCTTGGAGGTATCGCAACTGCGCGTCTTACGTTTCACCTAGTTTTCTCCCTTTCCCTTCTTCTTTCTTTCTCTATCGCTCGAGTTTTCTCGTCGCAACATTTTTATCATAATCGCACGTTCGACGCTCGATAAGAACGACGCGGCTTCGATAACGGCGATGACGAATGGTCCGAAGCGACGACTTCGGACGAGTAAACATTGCGGCGCGTGCATTACGTATCGTGAATTTTTAACGGGAGAGATCAAATCCCTTCCCGCTCCCTCCCCCCCCTCCTCGGCGTCGCGTTCGAGATTCAGAAAAAGATTCTGAATGAGATTGCGTGCCGGAGTAAGACGAGCCCACGTTTCTCTTACGTAAGCTCATTTTTCATCGCTTACGACGAGACGTCGAAAAGGCAGCTGTGCGATCTTTTTCGCCCACGTCTCACATCTCCCCGTGAATCGTAATTTGATATTAACGATGTCGCAACGACGACGGATGATTACGCGCGACGGCGGATTATCGCACGTCTAACGGATCCGGAAAGCACGATAATTATTACGTATCGTTTACAGTTTAGACTCGCGTCCCGGTATTATTCCCGCGGGATATTTTTACAATTGATCGTGTCAGATACGAGAGAGTTGCAGTTTAAAGTGCACGTTCCGATGGATTTGGAATGATCTTGCACGAAGCGAAGGAGGTTTTTCTGTTGCGAAGAGGCAACACGTCGGTTTGACGTGTCTCTGACAGATGAGCGAAACTCGTTACGTCGACGCGTTTCTTTTTTTTTTTTTTTCTTCTTTTTTCGCGCGCAAATGCTTCTTTTACGCCACTTTGTACATATTTCTCGTATTCCCCTTGAATTTGAAGGAGAATGACGTCATCGGTAAAGTATAGCAACCATCCAATATCTTAATTCATTAAGCATACATTAGCGCGACCCATTTAAATGTATTAATTCGCGGACGAACAATTATCCTTAATTTTCGGAAAGTAAGAGTTTTATCGCGAATTTTATCTTAAATTATACTTTAAGTTTTCACGGACGTTTCCTAAATTGAATTAAGAGTGTTTCGTTTATGAGGTATCCAATACGTTATGCGGTCTTCCGTGGCTCAAGGTCTTCACAAGGTACAATATGATCGCGACACGAAAATCGTCTTTAGTCTTTTATACTCTATATTTGGACACTTCATAGTTTGAATTTGGACATTGAATTTAAATATTAACTCGACCGCAAAGAAACAAATCCATTGAAATATATATTTTTTTTGTTTCTATTAATTATTGTTTATAATTATTTTACTGAGATGTTTGCCATTCGAAAAATGAGAGATGTATTTTTTTCTTTCACCTTTTATAGCAATAAAAAGTTATTATATTTGAATGAGAAGAGAGACTATTATTTTTCTTTTTTCTTTTCTTTCTTTCTTCCTTTTTTTTACTTTTGATTATTTTATTGTTTGTCATTCGAAAAATGAAAAGCATATTTTTCCTCTTCTTATTAATAACGATGAAAAATTATATTTGAAACAGGAAGAACGACTATATTATTTTTCTTTTTCATTTTTAGTTATTTTACCGAGGCGTTTGTCATTCGAAAAATATGGAAAATATTTTTTCTTCCATCTCTTATTAATAACAATAAAAAAATCATATTTGGACGAGAAGAATGACTACATTTTTCTTTTTTGTTTATTTTTAGTTATTTTACCGAGGTGTTTGTCATTTGAAAAATGTGAAAAATATATTTTCTCTTCCATTTCCTATATAATAAAAAGTTATCATTGGAGAGTGTCGCGTAAAACTACCTGCGTGCTTGTCACCACACGCGGAATAGTCTCTGTTTTAAGGAGTTTAAATATTTAATCCAAGTCACGTGTTTGTCGCATTTGCATACAAACGACACGTACGTGAACGTCTGCGACGCGATGACATGTGTACCGGGGGATTGGTTTTGAGGAAGCAGTCAACTGACGTATTGCCAAGGCTGCGCGGCGCGGAATGATGATACGCGATATTCTCGCTCGAGTATTCCTTTCGTTCGCCGTTTCGCGCGCGTTTCGCTTAGCGCACGTCGCGAAAACCCGACGTTAACGTCGCCGTTTAACGAGATAAACGAGGTATATCCCTCGCCGCGCGTTCTCGCCGTGAGTCGGCAATTTGCGCGTTGCGACATTGATGACGGTTTTTCTTTCTTTTTTTTTTTTCCCCCTCGATCGCGAGTCACTTTCGATGCAACGTTCCGGGCGTGAGCGAGAAGAGCTCGAAAACGAGGCGATCGCACGTCCCTTTTATCAGTCCTCGAATTTCCGTTCTAATTGGACTCGGGACTCGCTGTCGATACACTCTCGCTCGAGGAAC